TTGAAAGATGTCTGTTAGGTCCATTTGATGTATGGTATCATTTAATTCAGATGTCTCTCTGTTTATTCTTTGTCCAGTTGACCTGTCTAATGGAGACAGTGGGGTGTTGCAGCCCCTGCTGTTACTGAGTTGGGGTTAATCTGTGTCTTAAAGGCCTCTAGTGTTGTTTTTATGAATTTGGGTGCACCAGAGTTTGGTGCATGCATGTTAGGATTGTCATATCTTCTTGATTTATTGTCCTTTGATCAGAATGAAGTGACCCTCCTTAGCTCTTCTGATTAGTTTTACTTTGAAGTCTATTTTGTCAGATACTAGAATTGCAGCCGCTGCTTGTTTCTTAGGTCATTTGCTTGGAATATTCTTTTCCATCCGTTTACCTTAAGGTAGTACCTGTCCTGGGTTTCTTGCAGACAGCAAAGAGATGGATTTTGTTCCTTAATCCATTCCCTTAGTCTGTGTCTTTTGACTGGGGAGTTCAGTCCATTGATATTTAAGGTGATTATTGAAAGGTGTGTATTGGTTGCTGTCATTTTGATTGCTGTTTTTGTTCTCTGTCTAATTTTGTGTTTCCTAGTTTATCCCTTTGTTTATTTTTGTTGTTGTTGTTGCCCCTGGGGTGTAGTTGTTTCTCTCTCTGCTCTCTGTGTTGCTTCAGGTATTCTTTGAAGGGCTGGTTTTGTGGACATGTATTCTTTCAGGGTATTTGTGTCACGGAAGATTTTTCTTTCCCCCTCAACTATAATAGATATATTTACTGGGTAAAATATTCTGGGCTGGCACCTATTGTTATTTAGAACTGGAAATACCTTGGTCCAGGCTCTTCTGGCTTTCGTAGTTTGCATTTTAACAAGTCAGCGGTAATTCTATTGGGTTTTCTTTTATATGTGACTTGTTTTTCTTTTGCAGCTTTCAGTGTTCTCTCTTTGTTCTGTACATTTAGTGTTTTTACTATGATATGTTGTGAGGAGTTTCTTTTCTGATCTTGTCTATTTGGTGTTCTGTGTGCTTCTTGTATTTGTATGGTGATGTCTTTCCTTAATTTGGGGAAATTCTCTTCTTTAAGCCTGTTTAAGATCTGGTCAGTACCATTAACCTGAAGTTCTTCCTCCTCTCTGCCTCTGATGCGTAGATTTGGTCTTTTCATGGTGTCCCACATCTCTTGCACATTCCATTCCTGTGTTTTTAAAAATTTTTCATAATCTTTGCGTCAGTGTTCCAGTTCTTCACCTTTACCCATTTTTCCATTTCGTTCATTCCGGTGGTGAGGCTTCCCCTGCTGTTTCAGGTTGGCTTATTGAGTTTTGCACTTCCTTCTTCATTTCTGCCTGAGTTTTCTTCACTGTTTCTCTTTTGTGAATTCATTCAGAAGTTTATCCCTGTCTTCTTTTAGTTGTTTTGTTTGTTCGTGTGTTCTTTAAATTCGTTGAATTCCTTGATCATGTTTATGACTGTTCTTTTTTTTTCTTTTTGATCTTTTTGAGACAGGGTCTCCCTATAGCCCCAGCTGGCCTGGATTCACTGTGGAGACCAGGGTGGCCTTGAACTCACAGAGATCTGCCTGCTTCTGCCTCCCCGGAGTACTGGGATTAAAGGCATGTACCACCCCACCCGGCCTCATGATTGTTCTTTTAAATTCAGTGTCCTGGGTTATCTCTAGGGGGTTCTCCTTGTAGAACTCTTCTATAGGACTGGTAGAGTTTGGTGGGGACATAGTGTTTTGGCTTTCCATTTTATTAGTCTTTTGTTGTGATTTTGGCGTGTGAATTTCTTCTTTGTGATTCTGATATGAGAATTAAGTCGAAGTTTTCTTCTGTTTGTATTATTGGTGTGCCTTGGTCCTTTTCTTATTGATTATATAAAGCTAGTTGGTCCAGGTTTCTGGTTCTCTCAGGTTTTATTTTGGAGGGAACTGATGGCTTCAGATCATCTGCTCAGAAGCACCCACAGAAGCCCAAATCAGGTTCCAGTCAGATATACTGAGGCTTCCTTCTAAGGTTTGGACCCCTCCTAGTGGGAACTCAGAGTATAATTTGGGAAGTTCCCTAAGGGGGTGCTGATTTTGGAACTCTCAGGCAGTCCTGTGGGTTCTCAGCCCTATGCCAGAGGGAGGCTGGAACAGGCACTCTCTGGCAGTCTGCTGAGATCACGGTTCAGAGATGGAGGTCAGGAACCCACCCTCTAAGCCTGTCTGCTAAAATCTCAGTGTAATCCTACCAAAGCCAGGTCTGCCCTGGGGCCTTGGGAGGGGCCTCACACAATCCCAGTTTGGGAGGTGGGTACTGCACAGTTAGGGGAAGCTCACTGCCATGTGGAGGCAGGATTCAGGAACTCTCAGGCAGTCCCCTGAATTCTCAGCCCCTATGCCAGAGGGAGGCTGTAACAGGTGCACTCTGGCGATCTGCTGAGATCACAGTACACAGATGGAGGTTGGAACCCATCTCTCAGGCTGTCTGCTAAGATCTCCACCATTTTTTAATTTTTATTTTTATATTTTTGATCTTTTTGAGACAGGGTCTCCCTGTAGCCCCAGCTGACCTAGAACTCACTATGTAGACCAGGCTGACCTTGAACTCACAGAGATCCGCCTGCCTCTGTCTCCTGAGTGCTGGGACTAAAGGCGTGCGCCACCAAAAAAAAAACAAAAAACAAAAAACAAAAACAAAACAAACACCCCACCTAATAGCAGCAACAATGACAACAACATGTATTGTTTACTGTGTGGCAAGTCCCACGGCCCCTTTGATGGTGAACTCCTTAAACTCCCCAGGCTTCTTGGAGGGAAGATGTCTTGTTACTTGAGTACTTCCTCACAGTGAGGTAGTGAGAAGGCCCTGAGCTGCTCATGAAAGGTGGACCTGGGGGTGAAACCAGGGTGTGTGGTTCCAGATTCCTGCTGCCCCCAGCAGCGTGTAGGGGGTATTTTGTGCTGGAGCTGGAGCAGGGCATGTGTGCCTGTGCACATGGTCTGTGTGGTATGGAAGTTGCTCTGCCTCCTACAGTGCCCTGGTAGAGAATCACCGTCCCCACATGTCCCTAATGGTGGTCTGCAGTTAGAGTCACTTCTGAGGTGGACACAGTTGGTTTCTGGGAGCTGCAGTATGTGGAAACCTGGGCCCAGTGCCCTCCCCAGGGCTTAGCCCCTGTTGGTTTCTGTTGGAGGGTGCAGTCTGCGGAGCACAGAGGCTGTCATCGTCATTGGAGCAGCTGGGGCTACTTTTGGGAGCACCTGGGGCTACTTGCAGGGGACCCTTGAGACCAGTTTTGTTGACTGATGTTCCTCATGGGAGGAGGGAGAGAAAGGTCCTTGGACCCTCACCTGGGATTCCAGCTGCTCCTTCCTGCAGCTCCCAGCCTGCTGTGTGTGATTCCACCCTAACTGCATGTGGCCTGGTCTGGGGAGGTACTGGAGTGTATAGAGGGTGGAGGGTAGTGACAGGGCTCCATCTGTGCAGCTGTGGAGAAGGTATCATCCATGCTGGGGTGAGACTGTTCCATGATGTGGCTCTTTGATGTATCCACAGTTCTGTAAGTAACGCCTCTGTCATGCTCTGTAAGCAAGCCCCACAAGCTCGTCGTTTCTCTGAGTTGGGCTTTGGTGGGTTCCTGCTTTGGTTTGTTGTTGGGACCCCATAAGGAGGTAGGTGTTTGCAGATGTGTCCCCAGGGAGAGCATACCTGTTGCAGGTGCTGGGTGTTTCCTGTCAATGGTGTGTGGGTGAGCCAGCTGTGAAGTCTTGTATGGACAACCAACTGATGGTGGTACCTCATCCTTGGTGGGCCCTGGGGTTGGAGCACATCTGCACACACCAGGAGAGGCCAAGGAGCTGAGTCTCCCAACTCCGTTCTGCCCTTGAACCTCAGTGCCTGTTCTGTCTGCAGGGCAGGAGGTTGTCTGCATGCTGCCTGCTGGGAGGGTGGGAGGGAGATCCTCAGGCAGAGCCTGTGACCCTGCTTTGTAGGAAAGCTGACCAGATTCTGCCCAGGGGCTTTGGGTCTTCTCCTGGATGGCCTGTTAGGCCTTCCTACCCTGACTGGGGGAGCAAGGTGGCCTGAATGCAGGCACAGAAGGGGAGGTTCTCCCCCTCGCTTGCCTGCAGCTGCTTAAGGTAGGTGCCCGCATGCTGACTTTGTGTTTTCCTGCCTCTGGTCCTGTAGCTCATTTTTGTCTCTATACTTCTCACTTTCTTTTTTTGAAAATTGAGGCTGCCGAGGTAGGAGTTCGACCTAGTTGCTGAGGTCCAAGACCCTTATATCGGTGATCCCTGTGGCTTTGTATTGAGTGACCAGGGCATCTTTGGCCCCTTTCTTGGCTGTCCTAGCCAGAGTCCTGGGTGGATCGTATCATCTTGCCTCCCTTGTTGGGCTCCATGGGCCTGCAAGGCCTTGGCATGCAGCAGCAAGTGAGACCCTGCATGAGGGAGGCAGGCTTACCCTCTGCTGGTGCCACCTTCCACCTTGCCCTTGAGGGCTCCTTCGTGTCCCTGTGCTGTGACTCTGGGAGGCTCAGTCCCATGTGCCCTGGAGAGAGCAGGGGTTGCTCTTGGAACCGCCTGGTCACTTGCCTGCTGTCCTCAGTGCCTTTACAGCTTCACCTCTCCTTTAATGATGATTCAGTAGCCTGCATTCCACAGGCAGGCCTGGGTGACCCATGCAAGCCTCCTCCTCGGCAGGCCTGGTTTACCCTCCAGGCTTGTGTGGAAGCCCAAGAGCTGCTTCATCTGAGGCTGGTGAACTGGACTTTCCTGGCTGTCACGATTTGATCTTAGTGACATTGTTGATGTAGGTGTGTGTTTGAGTGATGAGTAATGCTCTGCCAGAGAGGCAGTGACTCACACAGAAGTTAGTTCCTTTTATTGCTTGGGTGATGGGAGGAAGGGAAAATCGGGCTAGTGCTCACAGAGGGCCAGCAAGGTCCAACGTGAACTTGCGGCTGCTTGGATGTAGGAATAAATCAGGAAGGGCGAGAGACACCCACTCACCTCTGTTCTTTATCCCTTTCAGAAAGTGCTGGTGATGCAGTCCCTCTGCAGAGGTCCCAGTCTCTCCCCCACTCGGCCGCTGTCACACCGAGTGGGACGTCTGACCCACATGCCCTCAGCAGCTCAGCACTGAGTAAGAGAGAGGCCTCCCGGCTGGACAAGTTCAATAAGCTGCTTGCCGGCCCCAACACAGACCTCGGTGAGTTCCTGTGGGTTGCTTGTTTCTTTCTAACCAAGACTACTTGTGTCATTACATGACACACAGTGGAGGTGTTGTCTTTATGCCATTGAGTCCCTAAGATTTATGTTTGGGCTGCTGACTTATTTAGACACGCTTTGCTAATGTATTTACAATACAATTCCCTAGTATATTTCTGTTCTTTTTTCCTTAATACTGCAACACACTTTTCCTACTTCAGTCCTCTGCTGAGCCCCTTGAGTCCGGGTCCTCTGCGGAGCCCCTTGAGACTGGGCAGGTGGCCTCCTTGTTCTTCACAGGTTGTGGATTGAAAACAGTGGCTCACAGGGTGGGATGACGATCATCCTGACAGAATGACTTGCCCTATGTGGGACTAGGGGTGGGCATGGAAGGTGACAGGTAAGGCCCGGTGGGCACTGGGGAGAGAGATCAGTCATCAGGGTGAGTCCTTGTGAGTTGCTGGTTACCTCTAGTACCTTTTTGAAGTCCCTGTGGTGGAATTGCCATTTGAATCTCTTCTTTCTCTCTCACAATGCGTGTTTACCAAGTGCATTCAGTGATGGGTATTTACTAGGTTCTAGACCTTTCTTAGCACCAGGAGGTGCCTTGACCATGAGGTCACTCATACCAGGGGAACAAATTTTTGTAAAGGTAGTTCTCGGCAGTGCCAGGGTAGCACTCTTAAGGGAGGGCTGGGAGAACAGGGAGGTGCAGTGCCCAGCCTGGCCAGGAGGTGGCGAGTTGGGCACGTGGATGGGCGCTGGGAGAGGCTAGAGCCACAGTTGTGAATTCTAGCCCTGGCAAGGATGGAATGGTGTTGGGGGCGGTGGCTGAAGCAGGTGTCCCGGCGGGGGGAGAACAGCGTCCTTAGAAAAGTCTTAAAGTTCTCACAGTGGGTGTTTTCTTCTTCGTTTGAATCAGCACCACATGCACATTGTCACTATCACAGCCCAGGAGGGTGTGGCGTGAACACGGGCCTCTGCTTTCTGACTTCACTGTTGCAGGAGCCTCCTGTCGAAGACACCTGTGAACTTATTCACACATTATATTTTCATGTTATTTTAAATTTATGGGAAAGTCACAAGGATAGTATAAGCAACTTCCGCAGTACTCTGTGCACATCACCGGTAGTTGGTGTTTTGTCCATTTGCCATCCTGTTTGCTCATGTTTCCACAACTACTTGCCAGTCAGTTGGAGCATCCTCCCATTTATTCCCAAGAGCTTTTCTGTGTACTTCCTAAGGACAGTTCCCTCAGTTTAGTCTCATGTGATTGCCAAAGAAATTTAGCACTGACATGGACTGTTTTCCATTATTGTTAGGGTAGTTTGTGTTTGCATTTGCCAACTGTCCTCCATACATTCATTATGTCCTGTGTTACTTTGTCCAGAATCCAGAGCTGGATGGAGCCTTCCCTTCAGGCTCACCTCTTGGATAGCTCCCTAACCCTTACCCTAACCCTAACCCTAACCTTAACCCTTCAGGCTCACCTCTTGGATAGCTCCCTAACCCTTACCCTAACCCTAACCCTAACCCTAACCCTAACCCTAACCCTAACCCTAACCCTAACCCTAACCCTTACCCTTACCCTAACCCTAACCCTAACCCTAACCCTAACCCTGGGAAATGGACTGCTAGCTCCGTTTCCTGTGTGCTTTGATCCTGACTCATTAGGCAGTGCTTGTCGAATGTCCTCTGTTCTGCTCTGTCTGAGGCTTCCTTGTGAGTAGGTCTAGGTAATGGCCTTTGGCAGGAATATCACTTCGGGTGTGTGTTCTCAACACTCATGGTGACGACTTGCCCTGTGCAGTGATGCTGACTAGCCTCACCTTGAGGTGGTCCAGCCAGCTCTGCCCTGAAAGACTGTATCTCTTCCTTAGAAACTAAGAAATACTTTGTGGAGATGCCTGGAGCCTGTGCATTTACGCAGTGCGAGAGACAGTCAGCATCTTAGGTTAAAATTTATATGTACTGGGGCTGGAGAGATGTTTCAGCAGTTAAGAGTACTGGCTGTTCTTGCAGAGGACCTGGTTCAGTTCCCAGCACCCACATGGAGGGTAGCAACCATCTGTAGCTCTAGTTCCAGGGGATCCAATGTCCTCTTTTGACCTCCATGGGCACTGTATAACATGGGTGTACTTACATACATTGTACACGTAAAATAAAAATAACAAGATATTTAAAGTAAAAAACTATGTATTTATGTAATAGCTTATAGGGAACCGCATGCCATCCTGTGGATGCCTTTATCTCACAAGCCGTTTACTGATGGAGATGGAGGTTATCACTGATTGCTGTTACTACATCGTAGGACTGCACATGCTAGGCAAGTGCTCCATAAGGACTTTGTCTTCAGCATCTGACACTCTGATGATAGCATCTATAGAGCAGTCCTTGACAAGGGGAGCAGAGAGAGTGGTAGAGACAGGGCAGCTTCTTTGGGGTGGTGTAAGAAAGACCCATTCCTGCCTATCCAGCAAACTAGGAAATAAGGATGGATTGTGGGAAAGGAGCAGTCTTCAGATTAAGTTGGAATGGGAGCCCTTCCTTTCCTAGCACACAAGGTACCTGATTGGCTTCTGAACAAGGATGGTCAGCTGGTTGCTTGGGCTCTACCATGGAGCCCAGTGAATCCGGATAGTGCTGAGGCAGTGTGGGGACAGTGGGTCCCATGGTGCCTGAGTGGAAGTGTTGGAGTTGGCTGTCTGGGTGGAGGAGACCTTGAGCAGGCTTGGTAACTAGTGATTTGGGCCTCCGTGTGTTTGTTTGATAAGTGTGTCTGGGGCTGGACTGAGTTTGTAGGACACAAAAGATGATACATGGTTGCCTAGAGTGCTAGTGTGCGGTGACCACACGTGGACTCTCACCTTGCCTTTCTTTTCATGTGCGTTGGCTTTTTAATCCTCTCACATGATTTTTGCAACACTAGATAGATTACTAGATACTTCTGGATGTTTTCCTGGCTGTGTACATTGGTTTCCAGCCATAGCCTGGTGGCCAGGAGGTAGCAGATTAGAACAGATTTACCTGATGCAGGCCTGGTCTGGTGAGGCTCCAAGCACCGGCCTGGGTCCTCCTGTGGGTCTTATTGGAGCTGCGTTTGGAAGTTCAATCACATCCACCAAGTCCTGGGGTCTGTGTGAGATCCAGCAGTTAGTGAGCATGCAGTCAGACTCTTCTGTTAGGTTGTATGCTTCTCCCCTCTTAAGAATTCTGTTTGAATATTTGAAACCAAAAAGTTAAAGCCATTCGCTCTCAAAGATAAACAATTACTGGATTTGTATTTAGTGGCAAGAGGAAACATAGCCAGTAAATTGCCTGTTTTCCTAAGGCCTTTAAGGTAGCTCTGAGGACAGTGGAATACATTACCTTCCCATTATATCAAAACCTAAGTGGCAAATATTTGCCAGTGTTGGAGAAGCAAATCGCTCATGTGCGAAGTGCCCGCAGAAATGATTCTACCTGCTGAATGTCATCGTCTGGCGTTGGGCTGCTTTCTTTGTTTAGCTTATGCTCTGTTATGAGCCCAGGGATGAAAGTAGCAAATAGAACTTAACAGCTCATTCCCCTCTTAGCATTGACTCAATATTTACCCACACAAAGACGGCCTGCTTTGAAGCCCGAGAAAATGACACTTGCAGGCGTTCCTGTTCATCACGTGTGTCTGCTGAATGGGAGCGCCTGTTTGGCAGTATGCAAAATGTGCCATTTCCTGACGGCTGTTGAGTGATGCCATGCAGCAGTGGGGCCTCTGGGCAGGCTGGGTATGAGGTTCAGCTCGGTGCTGAGAGCAGACTGCCGGTAGAACAGAAGGAATTCCCCTTCCCTCTGAGGAATGGGCCAGGCACACAGCCATGGTCCAGGGCACGCAGGTGAGCCCACTTCCTTAGAGAGCAAGAATGTTCTGGGTGGAGGTGGGGGACGGTGTAAACAAGGCCTGGAGCTGTGGCCTGTGATGACGGGAGCCTCAGGATCCACTACTGGTATGGGTGCTGGCTGGGCCCTTACTCTCCCTGTGACCAACTCACCAAGTAGCTCTGCCTTGAAGGAGAAATCAGACCTCCTCTGCAGACCTACTCTGCAGACCTACTCTGCAGGGTCCTCGTGTGGACAGGAGGTATTTTTGTGAGAAACAGAGCCAGAGCAACATAGACCCTTCCTTAAGGGGCTGGCATCCTAGTGTGGGGAGACAGATGGGCAGATGGACCCACATATGTATATTGAATACTCCAGAAAGCATCAAACCCTCAGGAGTAGTGCTGGGAAGGAAGCACCTTGAGGACTCCCAGTGGTGTGTGGCTTTGGACTAGGAGGATTCCTTGGGCAGTTGCCTGGGGAACATGGAGGAGCAGGGAAGCAGGGAGCAGGTGACTGGGCAAAGAAGCCAAGGGCAGGGGTGGGTCTGGTGTTGTGGTCAGTTTCAGGTACTGTCGGGTAAGCCTGAGTGTGGGGGCTGAGTGACTGGACGTGAAGCTGGGTGGACTGGGGAGAGAGTCACATCATCGTAGCCCTCGGGCTGCACAGATATGAAAACACCTGGTGGGCACAGAACCTCCCCAGAAGTTAGGAAGCAGCCAGGAAGTGCTATCCCATAGACTGCACAGCCACTGTTGTTACACCTCGGGATTAGTAGATCTCTGCTGACCCTGAACACCACCTACCTGTTCTTGTCACGGGTTTGCTGCCGAGGAGGGTTGGGCTCAGCAGCCTGGTAAGTGGAGCAGGCTAGACAGACTGGTCAGTGCTAGGCTCTGTTTCCAGCCCCCAGGCTGCTCTTGTTTCAGGCCAATGCAGTCATCTGTGCACGCGGTGTTCTTCAGAGGCCTGAAGAATCCATCTTTGCTCCTGTGGGTCTTGTTGGAGAAGGTGGCATCTGGTCCAGAAGCAGCTTTGCCACGGGCACCCTGGGATGGCTTGGAATTGCTGTTCCTACATCACAGGCTGTTGACCAGCCAGCGCTCAGTGTTCCCTTCTAGTGGCAAAAGAGTGGCATTGCAGTCAGAGCCCCATA